TTTTTTTTTTTACTTTGTTCTACTTTGAAGATTGCAAGACATCAACATCAAACTTGTCAATGTTTGTGGTTATTCTTTGTTTTGTTTGTTTTTTATGTGGCATTTCTCATTGTGCTAAAGATCCTCTATGTATGGTTGAATGGTTGAATTATTTGTTTGAAAAAATAAAACAAAAAGAAAAAAGTTAGCAAAAGGCCAGACCTGTCCGAATTCAGGTGTTCTCTTCTGGTTATCGTTTATTCGAAGGACCCGTCCTACGTAGACCGGGTCCTTCGAAGGATGCAGTCCCTGAATTCTGGACAGCACCATCTCCACTAGTACAGTGAGATGTTTCTGGAATAACCAGAAAACAAGAAAAAAAAAGAGCCTTTAGGGAACCAGACAGGGCGTTATTGAGACTCCTCAAAACAGAAGCAGCTCAAAGTCAAGATTAGAGTCAAAAATAAGTACAGGAAGAAGCTGGAGAACAAACTGAAGAAGAACAATATCAGAGATGTGTGGTTAGCGATGAAGAAGATTACAGGTTTCAAGCAAAAGGAAACCTGTAAAAGGAAATGGATGGATCCTGTCAAATCTCAGATGTTTCATCTTCCACCTCATCCTGACCATCCTCTTCATGAGATGGTCTTGAGAAAACAGAGTATCTTCAGTCAGAGACTTCTTCAGATTCGCTGTAGTACAGACAAGAGATCTTTCCTGCCACCAGCCATCACCATCTTCAATAACTCCGAAGAATCTGAATAAAAGAACTAAAGAGCTACATTTCTGCAGTTGACTTCAAATGGTTTTGTAATTTTCAACAAAAAACATTCAGTGCTGCATTTTCGCAGGAAATTTAAATTTTTGCAGTTGACAGCTAGATGTCAAAGTTCTTCCAATATCATCTTTGCTATGAGCACAGTGCACATCATCAAGTGGTATTCATACCCCACCTTGGCTGTTTGATGATTTGAGTTGTATTAGTTAAGGGTTTACCAAAGGGTTAACTAAAAAATGACTGTTTCATAAAGGTAAAGCCATGAAGCGAGTCATTTATTTCTGAAGGAAAAAAAATAACACATTTAGTTTAACTTACATTTCACAATAGTAAGAATTTCTATATTTGAGGTAGAATGCTACAGTATGGAAGCTTGTGTTCAGTTTGAAACTTCTGTACTTCACCAAACTTCCATTTCTAGATTTCTCAGGTAGTTTTCATCACATTCTAGACACCCAAGTAGAAGTCATTATTATTATTATTATTATTATTATTATCTGTATAACCCAGAAAGACCTCCATGCTGAACACATAAGTCTAATTAGCTACATTAGTACTGGGTTAGTTTAAAAACCTAAACGGTCTCAGGGCCCAAAATGCTGTGAAATTGAGCTTTTTTATTTTCCATATATTTGGGTAATATATTACTGATTTAAAAAAACAACATAAAAATGAGTTGCACTGTGGAAAATGAATCTGCTGCATATAAAACAATGAATGAAGCTAGACAAAATGCTATGTTTCAATTGTTGACTGTGTGCTCAGTGACTTTGTATTTTTATGATATAAAGCACTTTCAACTGCCTTGCTGCTGAAATGTACTATACAAATATACCTGATTCATTTGTCAGAAATTCAGATTATTATCCTTTAGAAAAGCTTACATTTTTAGAATCTTGCTTTTTATTTTTCCAAATGCATCTAAAAGTAAAAAGGATCAAATTCTGGATGATTCAAAACTGTAGAAGCCTGAACGACGGGCTTAATTGAACAGAGTTCTGCACAAGCTGTTTGTATAGACTAGAGTATATGCCCTGTTGCATGCTTGGCATGTGTGCAGTTCCTTTATCATCCAGTAGGGGGAAGGAGGAATGACAGAGCTGGGTGCCATTAGAGGTCTATAGTTCCTTTCACTTTGAACTTCTTGGCAGAACGTTCGCTGGCTCGGAACTCCATTTTGTTTCCATAGATGTGTGAGACAAAGCTGTCCATCTCTACAGAAAACACACTGTTCCTCTTTGGGATCACTGGACACAGGAGACAAGAAAACAAGCAGATGTTCAGAGACCTGTCTCCCAGTCAGACAGAGAGGACAGTTCACAGCATCTGTATCTGTGAACTGTCCCCTCTGAATATTCTACAGATATTCACATGATATCCATCGCAAATGTTCAGGCAGTGGCTGAAAGGTTCGGCATCTTCAACATTTTCAGATGGAGTTATAATGATTCCAACTTGAAATTGCCATACAATAACAAATTATCTTAATATAATACAACATGAAATGAAAATATTAGTCTCTTTAGTCATCTTTGGTGCCGTTTTCTAAATGTGACTGCCATAATAACCATGAACACATCCATTTGGGGTGTTTTTAGTTATTTACAGATTCTGGAAGTGTGGATTCTAAGCTTTCCAATTATGTTAAACACCTGGAAATCAAAAAAGAAATTGTTGAGTGTTGTATGCATTCATAACATTTTAGGACTATTTGTAATTTAGAAGCGTAATAAAATAAAAATAAAGTTGAGTAAATTTGGCAGAAACAAAAATCCTCTTCTGCACTATTAAATATAAAAATTATCCACCAGAAATGGATGGATAATTTTTATATTTAATAGTGCAATTGTATTTAAATAAATTAACTTGATCATTTTTAATTAAATAATAAAAAAAAACAATAGCTGACGTGGGGAGAGCATCATAAGCAAGCAAAGTCATAAAAACAAAAAAAAACAACAATTCTCAATAACAAACTTGTTCCGATCACAAAAGTATTCCTGCCATTGTTTTCTTTCCATTAGTATCTTCAGCTTTTCTTTAGAGTGACTCAGTTTAAAGCCATTTACCCATTATTATTTTTAAGCACAATACTTTGGTAAGTCAGCCGTATGCGTCGCACTTCGAGATCACGTCACGACAAATAAACGGTTGTTTTCATGCAGTATCTTGTGGACCCTTTTTTTTCTGCGCATCAGGACACAGAATAGTGACGTTTGACGAGTATCAATGATGTTCATGTCGGATAAATGCAACAGATAAGCGTCACATTTGAAAAGATATGTATTGGAGTTAGGATTACAAATCCAAGTGGTCCAGATTGCATTTGTAAAAATGCAGTGTATCACAAAAGTGAGTACACCCCTCACATTTCTGTAGATATTCAAGTATATCTTTTCATGGGACAATACTGACAAAATGACACTTTAACATAATGAAAAGTAGTCTGTGTGCAGCTTATATAACAGTGTGAATTTATTCTTCCCTCAAAATAACTCTATATACACCCATTAATGTCTAAACCATTGGCAACAAAAGTGAGTACACCCCTTGGTGAAAGTTCCTTAACTATCAATATTTTATGTGGCCACCATTATTTACCAAAACTGCCTTAACTCTCATGGGCATGGAGTTTACCAGAGCTTCACAGATTGCCACTGGAATGCATTTCTACTCTTCCATGATGACATCACATGGCTGGCAGATATTCAAGACTTTGCGCTCCTCCACCTTCCACTTGAGGATGCCCCAAAGATGTTCTGTTGGGTTTTATTGACATATAACAAGCCAGCAGCATTATTGTTTGGTTGTTTTTCTTTTTCTCGTTCAATGGCGGTTGGCCGACAATGTTTTGGGGCATTACTGCCACCAACTGGAATGGAGTGTGAATTGGGATACTAAATTGTTATATCGATACTACATACAAGAAAAAAATAAATTCTTAAAATCTATTTTCTATTAATTTAGTCTTTCTAAGGTTCATTAGCAAAAAGATAACATTTTAAACTATGTCCAAGTGCAGCATGTCCTGTAGATTAAGCAGTTCTCTTCTCTCAATAGGAGCAGAACAATAAAACATGTTCCCCTGTCAGTAGTGGGTTTAGGTCTGGAGACATGCTTGGTCAGTCCATCACCTTTACCCTCAGCCTCTTCAGTAAAGCAGTGATTGTCTAAGAGGTGTGTTTGGGGTCATTATCATGCTGGAACGCTGCTCTGTGATCCAGTTTCTATAGGGAGGGGATCAGGCTCTGCTTCAGTATTTCACAGTACAGATTGGAGTTCATGAAATATAACTATCCAACACTCATGCAGCCTCAGACCACCATGATGGCATTCCTACCACCATGCTTGACTGTAGACATCACACACTTATCTTTGTACTCCTCACCTGATTGCCTCCACACATGCTGGAGACCATCTGAAGCAAACAAATTAATCGTGGTCTCATCAGACCACAGGTCATGGTTCCAGAAATCCATGTCCTTTGTTGACATGTCTTCAGCAAGCTGTTTGTGGGCTTTCTTGTGTGCAGACTTCAGAAGAGGCTTCCTTCTGGGGTAACAGCCATGCAGACCAACTTGATGTAGTGTGTGGCGTTTGGTCTGAGCACCGACAGGCTGACCTCCTCCCTCTTCAATCTCTGCAGCAATACTGACAGCCCTCCTGTGCCTGTCTTTCAAAGACAGCATTTGGATGTGACATTGAGCCCGTGCACTGAGCTTCTCTGGATGACCAACACAAGATCTGTTCTGAGTGGACCCAGTTAAAAATGCTGGATGATCTTGGCCATTGTGCCGCAGCTCAGTTTCAGGGTGTTGGCAACCCTCCTGTAGCCTTGGCCATCTTCATGTAGGCAACAATTTGTCTTTTAAGATCCTCAGGGAGCTCTTTGTCATGAGGTGCCATGTTGGAACTTTCAGTGACCAGTATGAGACAGTGTGATAACTGTACTACAACACTGAACACATCTTCTCCCTATGCACGTCTAAGACCTAGTAACACTAACTAGTCACATGACATTTTGGAGGGAAAATGACAAGCAGTGCTTAGTTTGGACATTTAGGAGGATAGTCTCTTAAGAGTGTAATCACTTTTGTTTCCGGTGGTTTAGACATTAATGGCTGTATAAAGATTTATTTTGAGGGAAGAATAAATTTACTGTTATATAAGCTACACACAGACTACTTTTCATTGTGTCAAAGTGTCATTTTGTCAGTGTTGTACCATGAAAAGATATACTTAAATATCTTCAGAAATGTGAGGGGTGTACTCACTTTTGTGATGCACTGTAGATCTGAGCTGTTCAGATTGTTATGAAGAGATCAGATACATTTTGTGTAAGTACAAAAAAAAAAATCACATTTGAGTCACTTCAGGCTGCAGTACGAGCCCTGGACTAAGTTTCACTAGTTGATGGTGAGGAGCAGCCCAGCAATCAGGTATAAACGCACACAACCCAGAACAGTTTCACTGACCTTTGACCTGGTCTTCTTTGGTGATGATTTTGAACACATGTTTGAATTCTTGCATGAGAATCCCTGTAGTTCCCACATAGGACGGACATTTAGAGCGCACCACTGTGACAGAAAGCAGCATGTTACAGTCTGCTGGTCTCAAGCTGACACCAGTGTGTGTTCTGTTGGGTAAGTGCAGCAGCTAACTGCATTCAGGTAAGGTTTCTAAGACTGTGACACACATTTTCCTGCTAATGAATCAAAAGGTGGCAACAAAAGCCAGAGGAAATAAAAACAGGAAAATCACGAGTTTAGAGTAAAAGGTTCTGACTCCTTCCATCTGCAGACAGATTTTATGACTCAGGGAAATTCTCAGGAGAAATTGTTTCTTTTTCTCACCAACAATGCAGCCTGAATGGATCAATGGTGACTGAGGGTCAGGCCCTTTAATGGGAAATCTACCTGTGATGATGGCTCCATGCAAGTCTGCCTTCAAAAGCTTTTGCTGCACAATCTGTGGATTCCTGGAAGAAAACATGGAGACAATTACCAGGAGCAGCAGGAAGTTGGACATATAGGAACTCTGCTTCCTGGTGGACTGACTTACGCTGTCGGTTTGAGTCCACCACACAGGTCCAGAACATATTGTCTCCATAGCTGGTGTAGCGGCAGGAAAAGCTCATACCTGCAAAGCCAAACAGAGCCATGACAGGGGGAATTTAGAAAAAAAAGCACCTCCCTTTTCCCCAACACACACACATAAAACATCACCCCAACTAACCTCTGGTGATCAGGCTTGATGTGGAATACCTTCATCATTCTCTTCTGTCGCGCGTTGAGTCCTTTGGCTTTCTTCCTGTTTCTGGTTGTGTCTCTCTTGGGCTGACTGTAGCCTAGCAGCACAGCCTTATGAGTCAGCATGCTCTTCACATCCAGCCGGCTTGGCTGCTGAGTGCACTGCTTCAGATGGGCTTCAGTAAACTTTGCAGCTTTAGGGATGTTGTGAGGCTACAAGACAGACAACATCAATAAAGTGTTTGTGTACAGTGAGATGTAAAAAGAGTTTGTTGCCCAAAAAGAAACCCAGGTGAATGTTGCGTACCTCATCAAATTTCAACAAAATTATGTGCAACTTCCAATCAAAGAAAGTCCGCTCACCTCAACACCTAGATGCCTCACTAGATCTGGAGGAACTTTGGCGTAAACTTGGGCTTCTGTTGAAAGACACAAACAAATGTCCCATTTTTACAGAATAATGGCACATAATTTTTACACAATACTGTGACATCATTACGCAATTCCTCAGAAGTAGTTTTACAGGTCTTGTAATCTTGTTTTGGAAGAATCCAGTAATATCAAAAAGACAGCCAAAGAACCACTTATGTTTGTGAAAAATATGGTAGAATATTTTGACAGTTATTGAACTCCTTGTTCCTTAATTTAGTTGCACCACATATTCCGTTTTGAGTGAGTGAATTCAGGTCACATTGCTTTTAGAGAGATTTTTGCGAGGCAGCTGTACCATCTGTTACTTTTCAGGTATGAAAGTAACGCATATAAAGATACGTGCCGTGGAGACCTGGCTTTGTTTAGTCGATGTGAGTATGCAAAATAAAGTGGTAGTGTGGAATTATGTGTTCTAAATTATGTGTCCTAAGACAGATGACGCTACTTCAAGTCAAAGAGGCTAACATCTGTTACTAACCCTCTCTCCTGTCAAACCTTGCTCTGACCCGCACCATTGCAATATCTCATTATTTCAGAAAGTAGTTTTAACCCTCTGTGGGTCTTTTTTGACTCTGTGAGGTCATCTTTTTGAACTATTTGTAATGAAAAGTTTTTAATCACTTCATATTCTAGGTATTCCTCAAAAAACACACAGAGGTGTGTGTCTGACACCCTGGATGAGAAAACCAAAAGAGAGAATGTGTTGAATGACATGGAAAACCTGTTGTTCAATGTGTTCAAGGTTCTTTCTTTTATCATCTCAAAAAATAAAGTAAAAATTCATAGCTATATAAATTAAATGTTCTGTAAAAGAATAGAGTGCCTTCTCTGGGTCGGGGAGGATGTCCTGCCCCAAGTGAAGGAGTTTAAGTATCTTGGGATCTTGTTCATGAATGAGGGAAAAGTGAAGCAGGAGAACGACAGACAGATTGGCCCAGTGTCTGCAGTGAAGTGGGTGCTGTACAGGTCTGTTGTGGTAAAGAGAAAGCCGAGTCACAAAGCGAAGCTCTCGAATTACCAGGCAATCTATGTTCCTACCCTCATCTATGGTCATGTCCGAAAGAACGAGAGGCCGAAATTAGTTTTCCCCATAGGGTGTCTGGGCTCTCCCTTAGAGATAGGGTGAGAAACTCGGCCATCCTGGAGGGACTCAGAGTAGAGCCGCTGCTCCTTCACGTAGAGAGGAGCCAGTTGAGATGGCTCCTCCTGGACGCCTCCCAGGTGAGATGTTCCGGGCACATCCCACAAGAGAAGGCCCAGGAAGTCCCAGGACACACTGGAGAGACTTTTTTGTTTCTCGGCTGGCCTAGGAACACCTTGGGATTCCCTCGGAGGAGATGGAACAAGTGGGTGGGGTGACGGAAGTCAGGGCCTCTCTTCTTAGGCTGCTATCCCCACGACCTGACTCCAGAAAAGCGGAAGAATATGGATGGATGGATGGATGGATGGATAAATAACTGCACACACATACACACAGTCACGTGTGATACACATAGCACAATAGGATACAGCCAGTAATGTTAGCTAGCTTGGTTAGCTTGCTAGTTAGTTTCAAGAAATGTGCTCTTTCTCACCCCCTCCACTCCCACACATAATGGATGTTGACATTGTTCCATCATTGCTGTTGTAAAATTGCTGTTATTTCGTTTTAAAAATGTTCTACAAATTGGTATAAATGTTCCACAAATTGTTTTACAAATGTTTAAAAAGGTGTGAAAAAAATAATTCAAACATGAAATAATTCTTTTGTGGAATAAAACATAACAGAAAGTATTATACAAAACATTATTTTGAATCAAAATGACAAAAGTTGCATAAAAACACATTGATTCTAACATGGGTCAAAAAAGACCCTCTTAGGGACGACTGCATTGTCAGATTAATTATGCCTTACTGAGAACAGTTAGAAATGTGAGCGCTGCTCCTATTTTAAAGCTTTAAACTGTGTGCGTGTGCGCGCGTTTGTTTGTAATACCTTGTGGATACCATTTTCCTGACACATACTGTTGTGAGGACTCACTGCCTGGTCCCACAAGGGGAAACGCTGTTTTGGGGTCAAGGGACTAAGGTGTGAATGGAGTTTTGGTTAGGATTAGGATGAGGGTAAGATTTAGGCTGTAGAAATGAATGGAAGTCAATGGAAAGTCTTTGTGGGGACAAAGATAGCTACACAAACGTGTGCGTGTGTGTCCTAGACTCGAAAGGAGTCAATCTTTCGGTCCGCTGAACAACATTTTTCTCCGTCGGGCTTTAACTCACCTTCCATCGCAGCTTTCTAAGGTTGACTGCAGACTAGATTCTGGACAAGAGCTACTACCATCGACTCCGTTAGCTTCCTGGATGAAGCGGAAGTATGACATCAGACGTACAGGCCACTATTATTATTTATTTCCTTCTTCTTCTTCTTTCTGATTTTTACTAGCGGGTGACATCTAACGTTAAGCTGTATTATCGCCATCTACTGTGCTGGAGTGTGGACCAGAGACCTTTAATCTAAATTCTTATTGTTTCCTTCAAAACTTTAATAACTGATTTATTTACTTTATGTTTAATTAATATCTTATTAAGTTTTAATGTCTCTATATCATATTTTCTAATTTCTTGTTTTAACTTCTCTCTACTTACTGTATATTTTTCCCACAATGAAATATTACATGTTCTACTGTTTCCATGTCCCTACAACACTCACAACTACATGTTGGATGTTTACCTATCAAATGTAAAGTTTCATTTAATCCAGTATGTCCAAGTCGCAATCTTGTCATTACTACTTGCTCTTTTCGATTTTCTCCAATTATTTCCATATTCCCTACCTTCTTTTGTATATGAAATAAATGACGATCTTTAGTTCCTTCCTCCCACAATTGTTGCCATTCAGATTTAATTTTGCTCTTAATAACTGATTTTATTTCATATTTACCTTACACTATTTCCATAATTCTACTTTGTTTTAAAGACATCTTAGCTAAATTATCTGCCATATCATTCCCTTCTATATCTTTATGAGCAGGTATCCACATAAAAGTAATCTTTATTTGAACTTGTGTCATTCTAAATATAATTTCATAAATTTCTTATACCAACTCCATATGACTTTCAGATGAGACATTTAAAATAGACATTAGTGATGATAATGAATCTGAACATAGAATTTTTTCAATTTTGTTTTGCTCTACCCTTCTTGGTTTTATTGGCGGTTGGCAAAAAACCTTTTAGTCGCATTACCGCCACCTACTGGTACGATTTAAAAGAAAAACTGAGTTCCTTTAAATCTAGACTAAAAATTCAGCTGTTTAGAGTTGCTTTTGAAACCTAATCATGAAAGATTAATCGATAATCTGATGTGCAAAATGTAATGTTGTTGACTGTGTGTTCTGTGACTTTGTAGTTTTGTGTTTTTATGATGTAAAGCACTTTGAAATGCCTTGTTGCTGAAAGGTGCTATCCAAATAATATTTGATTGATTGATTGAAATCTAGGACTGTGATCCAGAGAGACTGAACTGTTAATATTATCGTAAAGCATTTCAACAATAATAAAATAATAAAAAAACCTTAATTAAATAAGTCACTATAATCAAGTAGGTCTAACACAAGTCGAATATTATTGTGTATTGATCGATCTTTTAACAAAACTTTTTGTGTTTCACTAATTATTATTTAGATTTCTTCTCAGCTCCAGACAAAATTTTATAGTCTGTATTTAACAAAGTAATCAGACTAAGAATATTTATTAATCGTTTATTCTTACCAGATTTGGGGATTAGAGAAATTAAACCTTCGTTTATCGTGGGAGTTAATGTCTTTCTCACTACATGCATAGAAGATTTTTGATATAATTCCAGAAAAATCGATAAAAATTGGCAGTCAGACCATCTGTACCTGGTTATTTATTTAAGTGCATTTTTGACATTTCTAGTTCCTCTGGTCTAAATTCAGACTCGCATAGACTCTTCAATTTGTGGACTCTTTTTTTGGATTTTCTCAAAGAGATGACTGGAGTCATCTATTAAAAAGTGGGTGGAGTATAAATTAGAAAAGAAACTTATTTTTCTATAATCTTACTGTCATTGCATTCCTCACCATTGATCAATAAAGTCGTTATAGTTTGTTGTCTACTTTTTTCCAAACGACTAAAATGTGAAGAATTTTTTTTCTCCACCTTCCATCTTGCCCTCGTCCTGATATAAGCACCCTGTGCCCTTTGCAGATATAAAGCATCTAATTTAGCTTACAGTTCAATTAATGTGGGACTATTTGAATCAATTGAGTTACAAATTTGATGAATTTCTCTGAATAAATCACACTCATGCTCTTTTTCTTTCTTCCTAAGTTCTTTGCTGAAAGATATGGTATCCAATCGTATTTTGTATTTTAAGAATTCCCATTTATTTATATAATCTGTAATCGAGTAATCAGCTTCAAATTCTTTTATAATTTTTTAAATCCTAGTACAATAATCCTCGTTTAGCAAACTGGCATTAAATTTCCAAAGCCTTTATATCTATTTATCTTCACACTTGATCCCAATATAAAGCAGACAGAGGTGCTTTAGAAATTACAGATCTAGTGGTGCATGTTAAAAAGTAATTAACCAATAGTCTAGCCCAGATCTACATTGCCCATGTAGCCGGTTCCATCCGACTCATCTGTTGTATGTACTCTGCGTTGTGTGTGTAGGTGAAGAAAGAAACCAGCAGTCGAGGACCGACGGTGTGTTGTAGCAGGAAGGCAGGTTTATTCTGTTCAAAATAAAAATGCATTTAGCACAGCAGTTCCCGGGCTCCAGCCTCCCACCACAGACCTCTCCCCAGCGCAGCTCGGCGCGAACTGAGGCAGGAATGCGCCACAACCAACCAAAACTTAAGGTCAGCAAATAAAGTAAAAATGTCAAAACAATTAAAATAAAACTCAAACAGAAATAATCTGCTCAATAGCCACACCTTTCACTGTTCAAATCAAATAAACAACAAAAAGAATCCTTCACTACAATATGAAAATATACTAAATACATTAATTTAACATCCAGATGACATTTAAAACAACTCACATACCTGATCAAAACAAAAATGCATTCAGCACAGCAGTTCCCAGGCTCCGGCCTCCCCACACAGACCTNATCTTATCTGTCAGGCTGCACTCAGTTCATTCAACTTCAGTCTTTTCACTTTATCATTATTGTTCAACTGGTGTTCTCCAAGGTTCGGTCCTTGGGCCCCTACTTTTAATTATCTACTTCCTTCATCTGGGTCACATCTTCTGTAAATTTGGTATCTATTTAAATTTTGACACCAAGCTCTACCAATCCACCAAACCCAACTCCACAATCCCACCCTTCAACCTCTGATTATATCTGTGAGCTGAATCACTAACTTTCCAATAATTTTGTCCAACAGCAATAAAATGGAGCTCATTCTTGTTCAATTAATTTTTTTTCAGTGCAGTTTATTTCGCTCCAATTCACAACAAATGTCACTTAAAGGCACTTTACAAAGAAACATTTAATTTCAGTCACACATACATTCCAGTTGATTCTAGTTATTGATTCTATTCAAACAGTTATTCAGAAAGTTTCTGTCTAAGGAAACTCAGTAGATTGCATCGACCTGCAGCATTCACCTCTCTTAGACAAACACGTGGCAAGTTGTGTCATTGACTTTAAAATGTTTTCTCTCACCCCTCCAATTAAGATTCCCATATCAATAAATGGGGATTGAACAATGTCTAATAGTGTCTAATACTGAGAAGAAATGTAATAGGCTTATTGAACTCATGAGTGGAAGTGATGTAATTATGGCACAGGGTTTGGATAATGACATTAGCAGCCAAGTTCTGAACCAAGTGGAACTTGATTAGGGATTTATTGGTAGACCAAAAAGAAGCAAATTATAGTTATCGATCTGGGTGTCTCAATGCTGTGAACAAGGGCGGGAGGGGAATGGGAGATGAGAGACGGACAGTGACTATTTATTACAGAGGTGGAAATAAACACCTCTTTGCAGGATTTCCTCTAGAGAAGGAAGTCCAGCAGTGTCCCACTGTGTTTTTGTATTAAACAATGTTAACAAGAAATTAATAAAATGACAAGGTAATTACATGTTATTGGAAAATGTTATTGACTACAGCAACCATAGACTAAAGACAGCATTTGGATGTGACATTGAGCCCGTGCACTGAGCTTCTCTGGATGACCAACACAAGATCTGTTCTGAGTGGACCCAGTTAAAAATGCTGGATGATCTTGGCCATTGTGCCGCAGCTCAGTTTCAGGGTGTTGGCAACCCTCCTGTAGCCTTGGCCGTCTTCATGTAGGCAACAATTTGTCTTTTAAGATCCTCAGAGAGACTTTCAGTGACCAGTATGAGACAGTGTGAGAGGTGTACTACAAAACCTGCTCTCTGTGCACTCCCACTAACTAGTCTCGTGACATTTTGGAGGGAAAATGACAAGCAGTGCTCAAAACATTTACGGGTGTAGTCTCTTAGGGGTGTACTCACTTTTGTTGACGGTGGTTTAGACATTCAAATACAGAGTTATTTTGAGGGAAGAATAAAGTTACACTGTTATATAAGCTTTTCATTGTGTTAAAGTGTCATTTTGTCAGTGTTCCATGAAAAGATATATCTTTATATATATATCAGATATTTAAGTATACTTAAATATCTGCAGGAATGTGAGAGGTGTCCTCACTTTTGTGATACACTGTAATGCTGTTGTGTTGCACTCTTCCTTGCAGCTTCTCTTGGACTTCCCGCTACTTAGGAGCAGGACCGGTCCAAGGCATAAGTAAACTAAGAGGCCGCTTAGAATCCCAGGGCCACTAGGGGAACAGATTTTTTATTTTGTATTAATGATTTCTATGTCTATGTAAAATTGTTCCCAAGGATGAAACAGATTTGTGCAGCTGCACAATTCTCTCCTTGCTGATTTCTTTTGACCTACTCATCATGTCAAATAAGAAAGCAGTATGTTTCAGGTGTTGCCTTAAAATACATGCACAGCTAACTTGTGGAAGGTTTAACCCAAATCATACACAGAGAAGTTTGGTCTGATTTTCACTCACCGCAGTGAGTGAAAATGTGTGCATGCCATTTTATTCAGTGTATTTAAATATCTGGTTATACAGTTGAATGTGCTTAGCATTGTGGACATTCATATGTGAAGCTAATTTCATAATTGGGGGAATCATGAGCAGTTCTTATTTGGATGAATGTGAATTTTGTACAGAGGTACCAAATTCATGTATTTTTTATATTTTTGAATTTATGAAAGAAAATAAAAACCACCTCAAAATGGTACAGGTGCCCAACACTTGATTTTGAGTGTTGCCTTTGATCTTGAATGATGCCTTTTTCCACAGATCAGCCAATATGAGCAGATTTTTCACTTTACTCCAGATCACATCTAGGGTATTTTTTGGAGAACCGGGCCCCTGGTTCAACAAGATGCAGATGGATGGAGATAAGACAACCATCTTCCATGACATTGATGGATCAGTTAGTGAGTATCCTGGAGCGTTTTTGGTTAAAGAAGACAACTGGCTGCTCCGTCACCCTGACTGCATTGATGTGCCTGATTGGAAGGCTGCAATCTGCAGTGGCCATTATGCACAGGTTGGTCAGTCCCCAGTTATTATCATCAGATAATTATGGTTCTGAGCCAGCAGAAGCAATGCAAGGCATGCAAAATGCTCAATACAGAAGATCATAATCGTGAGTTTAATTATGGGAAACAACAGGAACATGATCAAGTTTTGTTTTGAAAGACAGTTAGGAGCATTTCTAGTAGCTAATTTCTCTGAAGAATGGACAGAAATGAAGACGAGAAAAGCAGAGAAGCTGGTCAGAGTTCTGACCTGCAGTTCTGTGCCGACAGTGTAAAACAGCAGGACTACATAATATTAGATCGGTGTGATGTGAATTTTATTTTTTATTTGAATTTTTTTTTAATTAATAAAGTTAATTCATCTTTTGACTGCAGCACCTAAATCCAAAAGATAACACAGATAATCTGGTAATCAAGTGCCAGCTGTCATGATCGTGTTTCTGTGTAGTTATTTTTAGAGTTTTTTGTTCAGTTGCTTCCTGAGTCTCGTCTCTGCGTCTCCCAGGTGTGTCTCGTTCCCTTGATTACCCCGTGTGTATTTAGTCTCACCTGTCGTCTGTGTTCTTCGTCGGGTCCTTGTCAAACGTATGTCTTTTGCACGCTCTCAATACTCTCCAGTGGAACTGCCAAGTCCTGGTTTGTGTTTGCTCTCATTTTGTCCTGTAAGTCAGTTGCTACCGGCAATTAGCTGTTCGCTTGTCTCCTGCCTGTCCTGAACTGTTTATCGAGCAATATTATCATTAAATTCATCTTATTCATGGGTCTCGGCGTTCTCTCCTCACCACCACGTGACACCAGCATGTAAATATATTTACAAAATAAGCAAAATTAATCAGCTCATCTGAGTCTTTATCATTATGTTTGGGCCAGCAATAAAGTTCCATAAGACAAAATAAAATATCTGGTTTTATTTAGTCAATCACAATCAGAACCTCAGGGTTCTCCATTGCTGAGTGTCACTGCAAACCAGCGGAGAAATGACCGCAGCTGCTGTGCAGCTCCGCACATAGTATGGAGAATCTCCCTCCTGACTAGAGCCAAACCAAACCGAATCACATTAACCTGTTACAGAGAGCAACCTGCCACAGCACAGTGCTGTAAGATGCCCTTGTGGAGCTCGGGTAACTGTTGTGCTGTTTGTGGCTGTACTCTAATAATCAGACAAAATTTAGTTTGCGGCTGCAGCAACAGGTGTGTTTTCAAAGTGCTCCTAAAACGGAAAGGTGGTGTTTCTGTGATAAGTGGTAGTTTTCATCGCCTACTTACAGATAAGGAAAGAAAAACGAATTATGCAAAAAAAAAAAATCTAAACTTGAAGAGAGAACCCAAAGTGCTTTATTTGTGCTCATTTCATTGTGTGGATAGAAAGCCAAGGGAAGAAAACCTGCATCTCTGAAGCAACAGAGTCAGTGAAGTAGCTAACTTTGCTAGTGCGGGTTGTTTGCAGCTGCTTCTTCAAGTCGCCATCCCTCCCTGCATTAGCTGTAGGTGGTAGTAATACAATATTGCCACATGTAAGCTGTGATAGCTGGAGTTCCCACATACTTTATATCTAAAGCCTCTGTGGGAAGCCGGTTAGCGAGTTGCTAACATGTAAACAAATGGCGACTTCCGCTGCTAACTTCCGGTTAGCAGCGGAAGTCGCGGCCATAAATCGCACAAAGCTTTATAAGTTTTAAGTTTGATGTGTAAAAGAGTCGAACTTTACGTCTTGATGATCTGAACCATCATTTCCTGGCCCACCTGCCAGTCATAATCAACAACAGCCGATCAAAGTCTCGATATTCTGGGACCTCCCACAGTAGCACCATAAGAAAGATATTGAGTGCAAGAGGACTGTGAAGGATAAAACAGATGTTTTAGTATTTTATATGCAACTGTTAATTCTCTATCTAAGCTAAGTTATTTAATTTGCTACTTATTGGTTTGAGCCATTTCTAAGTTGATGAAAGAATATTAATGAGTATATGGTACAGATTTTGCTAATTGGTATACTTTATTTGTTTAGTTGTAAATTCAGCAAATCTTATTAAACTGCAAAAGAAAAGTGATGCCTCATCTTTAATTGGATGCCTGTAGCTTTCCACTCAAAATAACCACATTTTCAGTTAATTTAGCAACATTTGACATTTTATTGTTCTAATAATATAGTCATATGGCCACCTACACTGTTTCTTAGGCCACAGTAAGAAACCTGGATGTATCCAGGTACCTGAATACATCCAGTATTCAGGTTGTATCATATAATGACTTTTTATTATGGGCATTTTTTTCAGTACATTTGTTAAATGTTTTCTTGATTTGTTGATTTTTTGTTGTACAGAAACCCATTCTCACCATAGTGCAGCAATTCTGTTTGACCACATGATGAACCAAAATCCACATTTATCTCGGCCAGCAACATGTCTGAATTTGCTTAACTTTATCTAAGGGGAAATTCAAGATTAACTTAATCATATAAGCCTATATAAAGTCATGTTTATTTGATGCAGTATGTTTTGTATACTAAGTATTTTTCTATGATTTGTCTTGTTTCAGTTTCATTTTTTTTTGTATTAAATCCTCTTCAAATACAACACTGGCCAGTTCTTTGAAAGAAGAGATAAAAGTTTAGCTGACTGAACATGAACAAAGGATGGCTCATATTGGGTAGAACATTTATTTTCAGGATTTCTATGCTTGAAACCTTTCATGACAGAAAACCTCCTGAAAAGTTTGACTTGGTCAACCGCATATGGAGGCGTAAACGGAGGGGTTTGTGTGGGGGGCGGTGTTAGGGATGGACCTGCTGGGTCGGGCGAGGAACCCATTATAACTGCTTGCAGTTCTAGTTAATTTGGCTTTGGTATTAAGTTGTCTTTCTGGGGATAGAGAGGTTCTCTGAGACAGTGATAGTCGGATACCAAAGAAAATCTCAGCAAAGTTGTTTAATGAAATAAATTTTTGTTTTATGTTCTTCCAGGATATCATCTACTTCTTTTGCTATGTTTTTCCCAGATCTACATCCAAACCCGAAAACCTGCCAACTTGAACATGCAAATAGTGAGGAATGAATATCCTGACTGGCCACTGACATTAGAAGGTGCCCTAGGAAAGAAGAAGCATTACCAGCAATTCCAGCCAGTGATCACATTAGCCAAAGGTTACACAGTTCACTGGGATCAGACAGCACCAGCAGAGGTCACCATTTGGCTCATCAACTTCAATAAGTAAGTAGATTATGAGCAGTTGTTCTTACAACACAGCAGCAATGAAATTGTATTTCATTGTGTTTGCCTTTTTAAGACTATCTTGAAAAGGCACTTTTGAATTATTGACATTTATTTTCTACCCTTGGATTGATGTCACCTGCATGTAGCAAAAATCAAGGCTGAAACTAAAACATTGGCAGTAGAAAACACTAAAAGACTTTTAGTGTTAAGTATCTTAACACTAAAAGCCTAACCCTCCTCAGATATATTTATTTCATGGTATTAATTGTTTCATGGTGTAACAAGATCTCGCAATATTAAGCACTAGACAGTTGTATTCAGCAAGGCTTTGCCTGTTGAATTTCTAATAGATGTCCCAACTATACTTAAGTCGGTTTGGCAACATTTCGGGTTTCTAGTAAATGGCAACATGGCTGATTTCCTATGTTAACTGGAAAATAGGAAGTACTGCACTACAGACCAGTGATGGGTAGTAATACATTAAATAAACATACAGAAGCAATACATTCTGCATACAAAAATGTATGTGGCAGCATCCTGGTGAAAAGGGTCTCTTAAAATGCTTTTTGTCTGGTTTTTGAACAGGCGGGCTGAATAGATGTCATCAAAGGGTATATGATGATCCACGGTGGTGTTTTGGTACCCCTCTGCCAGCTCTTTTTCTCTACTGCTGTACAGGTTTTATACTGTAAGTCAGTGTGGACCCTATTTTACATCAGTAGTATCTGATCAGCAGCTCCTTGGACAGACGACAAAAGAAGCCTCTCTGGTGAACTTTTTTAATTAGTTATTTGTTGTTGGGGCTTCTAAGAATTTGAAGCTGCTGGACCCTTTAGGGCAGGGGTGTCAAACTCAATTTCACCGAGGGCCACTTCAGTATATTGGCCACCCTCAACGGGCCACACAGTGGCGCAAC